CACACACTCACACACATATACTCACACACACTCACACATACACACACACACACACACACACACACACACACACACACACACACACGAAGAGTCCCTGCAGCAGGAAAGGACTGTCCCCGAGCAGCTATCCTCATTACCCAAAGTAAGAGAGGGATTGGCCATGGATTACAGAGCTGGTAACAACTGCAAGTCTCATACAAGGAACAGAAGGTCCCTGAATGCCTCTCCAGAGGTACCACAGCTCTGGGAAGGGCCCTGAGCTTAGAGGTCTGGGACACAGTCCTGCTGTCCTTAAACCAATCACTAGACCTCAGTTTCCTGCCCTATGAAATGGGGAGGGGAACACTTATCCACCTGGACACAGCAAAAATCAGTCAAGGAAGCCAGGCATGATAATACACATCTTTAACCCCAGCACTCCGGAGGCAGAGGCAGGAAGATCTCTGTGAGTTTGAGGCCAGCCTGGTCTACCAAACAAGTTCCAGGACAGCCAAGGGCCACACAGAGAAACCCTGTCAATAATAATAATAATACTAAATCAGCCAATGTTTGTTGAGCAGCCCTCACACACTCCATTCACATGCTTATTAAGTTCTGTTGGTTAGCAGGTCCCCCACATATATACACATTTACATACACACTTTTTTGAGGCAAGGTTTTATGTAGCCGAGGCTGGCTCAAACTTACTATGTAGCCAATGGTGGTCTTGAACTTTTGGTCCTGAGTTCCGGGACTGTAAGCATGTACCACCACATCTGGTTTATGTGGTTCTGTAGATCAAACCCAAGGCTCTGTGCATTTGAGGCAAGCACTCTACCAACTGAGCTGAACCCCCCAGTCCCCTTCCAAGGTGTCTGCAGGCAGAAGAGGATGCAAGGCTGTGCTTGGTCCTAACGCACACTCCCGAGGACCACTAGCATGTGAGGGTGGGGGTACGACTGCTCCAGCCTCCATGGGCCCTGTCTGAGTCCTGACCCTGCAGGGAAGCTAAGCTGAGGCGCCAGACCACCACAGTAGAGCTGGAGGAGCGTGGACAGAGGCGCGTGGGCTTTGGCAATGACTTGGAGCGGATAGAGATGGCCTTCCTCCGGACCCAGAGGCTGCTGCGCCAGAGACGTGACTGGAAAGCCCTGCGTCAGCAGGTGAGGCACTGGGGTCCCCCTTCCCGCCAGCCTTGGATCTAACACCCACCACAAGCCCTATCCTCACTCTCACCCCCTTCTCAAAGGAAAGGACTCAGGTCCTGGGTTCCAATCTCAATACCCCTATGCTTGGCTGAGTAACCTGGGAAAGGGTCAGGCTGTTCTTGAGCCTCAGTTTCCCGCCTGTGACTTGGGTGTGGCTGTAACAGCTCTGTGCTGAGGTAGAAATTAAATGAGCTTAGATTTGTGGAGTGACTTCTCAGTGTCTGTACAACCTTCACAATTGTCCAGGGTCCGATGTCCCTTCCCTACCCGCTGTCCAGGTCAGATTTCAGGCAGCTTCTTTATATAACATACGGTGTTTTTCATGGATTGACTCACTTACTCCCCATTACAACCCCCAGGGAGGGGGTGAGCAAGTAGATATCCTCATCATCCTCATTTTACAGGCAAGGAGAATGAGGCTCTGCCTATGATCCCATAGCTGGTCCTACAGCACATTTCCTGCCCACTGAGCAACACTGCCTCAAGGTGGAGTGGATGAGGGCTCAGCCAGTCTGAATGCTGGGGCTGGGAGGTGGTAACATTGTGGGAAATCCATCCCTGACCCCTAGGAGTCACACACCCCTTCACCTCCAGACAGAGGAGAAGGTCCACGAGGCCAAGGAGCTGATTGAGCTGTGCTCTGGCCGCGGCCCCTGGTTCTGGATCCCGCTTCGCTCGCATGCCGTCTGGGAGCACACCACTGTACTGCTGACCTGCACTGTCCAGGGCTCACCTCCATTCCAGGTCACCTGGTAAGCTCCTGGGGCTGGAGACCGAGTGTTCACTCTGCACCCATCTCGCTTGGAGGTCTTTGTGGTCCTCCATCTTCACCCAAGCTTCCTCTGTCTCAGCAAGGCCACAGCCCACAGACTCTGAGCTCTGCCCACCCTACACACAGAGCAACAACAGCTGCCTGGGAGCCTCAGGCCACCTCAGGCCTTGGTTATTCTTAGTCACCTTCCAGCCAGCCTGGGCCTGGAAGACGGGCCCCCTGGAGAGCCAGCCCTTGTAAAAATATGATTCTGGTGGTGTGAAAAGGAAGCTGAGCTGAGCTGAGCATCTTCAGCACTAGAGACTGTCTGGGAGGACGGAGAGCTAGGGAGGAGAGGTGGGAGGGCAGGAGCCTGCTGGGAGGGCAGGCTCAGATCTAGAGTGTAAGCCTAAAGTCAGGCCTACCATTCCCTCTGCTGAGTCAGAGTGTGGTCTCAGGTGTATGATGTCACCTTCCCGGATCCTCCTGGTTTGCCTTCACCTCCTGCTCATACAATGGGCTGACGATCCCTTATCCAGCTGATGCATGGCTAAGGGTTTAATGTCCCACAGAGGAAGTCCTCAGACCTTAACAAGAGCTGGGAAAGTGCCAGGCATGGTTGTGCATGCCTGCAATCCCAGCACTCAGGAGGCTGAGGCAGGAGGATCATGTCTTTAAAAGAAAGAAAAATGGAAAGAGCTAGGAAAGCAGGAGACATTTCCAGAAGCATACCAGAACCCCAGAAGCCTCATGGCTGTGAGGGTTCCCCTGAGCAAGGTGGTGGAGATGGGGTAATAGTGGCCACTTCCTAGAAGGAGTCACGCTGTCCACAGAGTGGATCCAGTCCCTGTTCACAGGGTCTTAGGCCAATTGCCAGGCATGCTAGCGGATAAGGAAGGGGCTTCAACAATATTTACCATCAGCATAGCCTTCCCAGGCCCTGTCAGGGTCTCACCATCAAGGAACGCTCAGCCCAGGGAGGACTGGCCACAGAGAAGTATATTCATGGTCCTGCTCAGATCAAAGGGGACGGGGAGGGAAGGTAATGGCTGTCCAGGACTGAAGTGACCAGGAAGGCTTCTCAGGAAGATGTGGCATGGGAGCTAGACGGTGAAAAGCCCATGGTCCAAAAACAGAAGAAAAAGGTAGCATCTTGCTGGGGCCCGCTTTATACAAACCCAGAACTCTTGTCCCGTTTGAGCCTTATCTAAGGTCACACAACCAAAGTGGACCAGGATTCAAATGCGGGAATCCTTCCAGGAGCCACAGAGCAAGAGACCAATAGGTAAACTCTTTTTTTTTAAACTTAAAGCGCACAGTGCTGAGGAGTTGAGGACGGGAAGCATGCAGGCAGGAGATATCATAACCAAGAGTGATATCTCCAGGGAGCTGGCCTCCAGGCTGGCCAGTTCCAGCTGGCACACTTTCAAAGCCAAGCACGGGGCAGTGTGCCGGGCATTGAGACCGAGGTGCTGTGGAGACGAAGGCAATCCTGTGTGCAAGTGGCTGGCCGCAGTGGGAGGTCTGCTTCCAACTCAGATCTGGGCTGAGTGGGCGTTCAGAGCCCCAGCTGTCCATCTGCAGCCAAGCCCCTCCCATCTTGGCTCTTAAGCCCCCATCTAAGGCATTCCATGGGAGCCTCTAGGAGGGGGATTGGTTTCTGCTCCAGCCAACAAGGCCAGCCCCACAGGGCCAAGCATTCCTGAAAAGGTAGAAGTCAAGGCCAGGATGTCCAGCCCCATTGACTCTGGTGGCCCCAGGGGCCCCTGGCTCTGTGATGCCAGAGCAGAACCATGTGACTGGTTCTAAGGGTAATATCCCTGCTCAAGATCCAGGTTTGTCAAAGAGAGTCCATTCATTCAGTAACTATTGAACATTTCCTAGCTGCAGAAGCACTGGGAAGACTCAAACACACAGCCTTACCCTAGGGAGGCAAATGTGCTGAGCACTGGGTTACACAAACTGGAGCTGGTGTCGTTGAGGGTGCTAGAGCTGGTGTTGCTCACTGAGGGTGCTAGAGCTGGTGTTGCTCACTGAGGGTGCTGGAGCTGGTGTTGCTCACTGAGGGTGCTGGAGCTAGTGTTGCTGAGGGTGCTGGAGCTGGTGTTGCTGAGGGTACTGGAGCTGGTGTCACTGAGGGTGCTGGAGCTGGTGTCACTGAGGGTGCTGGAGCT